TTTTATTTTTAATTTTTATCTTTTTTTTTTTGAAAGTCTAATGCTCACCAAGGCTGCATTTATTTGATAAAAAATACAGTAAAAACAGTAATATTGTGAAATATTATTACAATTAAAATAACTGTTTACTATTTGAATATATTGTCAAATGTAATTTATTCCTGTGATCAAAACTGAATTTTCAGCATCATTACTCCAGTCTTCAGTGTCACATGATCCTTCAGAAACCATTCTAATATGCTGATTTGCTGCTCAAGAAACATTTCTGATTATTATCAATGTTGAAAGCAGTTGTGCTGCTTCGTATTTTTGTGGAAACCGTGATACATTCATTTTTTTGAGGATTCTTTTAATAGAAAACTCCAAAAAACAGCATTTATTTGAAACAGAAATAAATGATGTATTTGACATTTTTTTAGATAGATTATTTGTTTTTATCCTTCATTACTTTCTGCATGTGTTTATCCTCAGGCCAGGCTCTATATGCAGCAGTTCTACGCTATGTTCCTGAAGAGGGCGCTCTACAGCTGGCGCAACTGGAAAGTGATGGTGGCTCAGTTTCTGGTGCCGCTCATTTTCACTGTGTTGGCCCTCGTAGTAGCCCGCGCCCTCCCTGGAAGCCAAATCACGCCCCAGCTACGTCTGGCGCTAAAACAATATGGCCCTACTCACGTACCCGTGGCTGTAGACGTCAGTGCTGGGCCGCTGGCTACAGCTCTGGCTGAGATCTATGCTGCACAGCTGCCTTCCCAGAATGCCATTCCTGCCACTAATATAACAGGTAAGAAATAACCGAATGAATAAATAAACGGAAGCTGCCTCAGCAACATCCTAACCTGTCGTTTTTCCTATCAGATTTGTCGGAGTACGTGCTATATAATGCCATGAGGGAGGGCGGGGCTTTCAATGAGCACTGCGTGGTGGGCGCGACTTTCAGGGGCCGATCCAGGAAGAACACGGAGGTCATCGGCTACTTCAACAACCAGGGCTATCACACCCCCGCTACGGCACTCATGCTGGTTGACAACGCTCTCTACAAGCTACTGGCCGGACCCGACGCCTCCATCCAGACTGGAAATTACCCCATGCCCCGCAACATGTCTGAGACGGCCCAGAGCCAGCTTTCTGAGTACGTATCCTCTTTGGGAGTATTTAGTGGCGCTTGACAAGTAGGGCCTATGAAATTTGATTGAATGTTTTCCAAAATTCTGTGTTTTCATTTTAAGATAAGACACTACAGGCAAAACCTTTGCTTTTTTCAGGCACTGGTCAATTTTGTGATTTTGAGCTATTTTGCCTCCTAAACATGCCATACTAGTGGAAAGAAAACATCAAGTGTTTATTTTTTATTACATTTCATCTGTTTGCATCTGTACATTTTATTTACAATACATATCTCTACTTCAGAGGACTTAAATACACTAAATCTATATTTATCTTTCTATATTTAGAAGGTTTTTACAGATGGGTTTGTTAATGTCATTTGATAGTTTTTTTTCTGATTTATTGAGTAAAAACTTTTAACTCTAATGTAACAACAAAACAAGATAAAAAAACATTTATTTATTTACTATATTTATTTTCAGAAATTCTTTTAAAATTTTCCTAGATTGTTTATTTATGGTTTAATACAAATTTATTATAAAAATGGTGGTAATCTAATTAATTCATAAAACTTAAACTTTTTTTTTTTAGATTTATTTTTAGCATTAGCATGATAGGACAATATGATGACAGGAAGCAAAGTGGGAGAGAGAGAGGGGGGCGGGATCAGGAAAGTTTCTCGATGGTGCTAAATGTCAATATAAAACTAGAACAATTGAATTAATCTTTTAAAATGTAATCAAATTAACATTTTATGAACTGTTTTATTTTTGGCAAAGTGCTGCACAACAGAGGTTTACTGTTTAAATTAAAATATGGGCAAAAACAATGTGATATTGTATGTTATTCCTTAATGTTTTAATATATTGTTTTGAGAAGTAAACATTTTCTGTCATAGTTTCTTTAAGTTAAACTGAACTTTTATTTTGACAGGTTGTAGTGAAGACCTTTGAGTTTCTGTGTGTCTGACGAAAATCATCAAAAATCATAGCCTAAGGCAGGGGCTCTCAAACCTATCCATGTAGTAACCCCAGCACTGCACATTTTGTATGTCTCCCTATATCTGACACACCCACTTCAGGTCTTGCAGTCTCCACTAATGAGCTGATGAGTTGAATCAGGTGTGACAGATGAGGGAGACATACAAAATGTGCAGGGCTGGGGGTACTCCAGGACAGGTTTGAGAACCACTGGCCTAAGGTATCAGAACAAACCAAGAACCCTAAGTGAAGTTCACTTGAGACACCTAGTCGTTTAGATGGTCTTTCATCCTCATTTTTGTCTCTGCAGGGGTCAGACAGGCTTCGCCATCGCTATAAACCTCATGTACGGCATGGCATCATTAGCCAGCACCTTCGCCCTGCTCCTCGTCTCTGAGCGGTCGGTGAAGTCCAAACATGTGCAGCAGGTCAGCGGTGTCTACCTGTCCAACTTCTGGTTCTCTGCCCTGCTGTGGGACCTCATCAACTTCCTGTTGCCCTGCCTGCTCATGCTGGTCAGTATGAATGTACTGTCTAGGTTCTGTAAGTGGTTCTTAATCTGGAGGCAAGGGTGCTGCAAAATGCCTTAAAATTAGTGCTGTCAAACGATTAATCGCGATTAATCGCATTCCAAAATAAAAGTTTTTGTTTACATAATATACATTGAACAAAATTATAAACGCAACACTTTTGTTTTTGCCCCCATTTTCTTTGAGTTCAGCTCATGAAAAATGGGGGCAAAAACAAAAGTGACGCGTTTATAATTTTGTTCCGTGTATGTGTGTGTACTGTGTATATTTATTATTTATATATAAAAGCACACACAAACAGTATATGTTTTGAAAATATTGACATGTATTTACATGTACATATTTATATTCACATAATTTATATTATATAAAAATATATTTATTATATAAACGTAACATATTTTTCTTAAATATATACATGCATGTGTTTGTATTTATTTGTACATAATAAATATACACAGTACACACGCATATATTATGTTCAGTGTTGGGGAAAGTTACTTTTAAAAGTAATGCATTACAATATTGATTGACGGGAGCGGGCGGTCTAACAATATCCCATTCCCGACGTCCATTCAGAACAGCATATCTGCGATTTATTCTTATTGACCACCGGTACAGCCTGCACTCGGACTGTTATGCACGTGCTGTGCGCATGCCTTCTGCATCACGCGTTTTATTTGCGGAGTTTGTGTGCAGCATGTGCATAACGATGCTCAGAGCAGGCTGTACCGGTGGTAGCCTAAATATACGGCCATCAAACAGAACAGGCAGGTTGTCGATGAGTTAAACTGAACTTTTATTTTGACAGGTTGTAGTGAAGACCCTTGAGTTTCTGTGTGTCTGACGAAAATCATCAAAAATCATAGCCTAAGGCAGGGGTTCTCAAACCTCTCCATGAAGTACCCCCAGCACTGCACATTTTGTATGTCTCCCTATATCTGACACACCCACTTCAGGTCTTGCAGTCTCCACTAATGAGCTGATGAGTTGAATCAGGTGTGACAGATGAAGGAAACATACAAAATGTGCAGGGCTGGGGGTACTCCAGGACAGGTTCTGACTGAGCAGAATAAGGATGGAGCAAAGTGTGGATGCGCTGTCCTTGAAGGACGTTCAACTCGGTTTTGTTTATATTTTTCTTAGCCTATAATTTTAAATGACAGATATTGTATTTATTTATTTTTCTCTGCGACACTTATACTGTGTTAACAGAAAAATGTCAAACGAATTTTGTATTTTGACAAGACGAATAAAAATAGCTAATAGGCTATTTTTGTACAACCTACATTTTTTTTCTCTCTGCGACACTTTTTCCTATTGTGTTGTAAATGTTATATGAATTGTATCCTGACAAGACAAATAAAAATAAGAAATACAATTTTTATTTTCTCTGACACTTTTTTTTTTTCTACTGTGTTGCATAAAATATTAAACAAATTTTGTGTCTTAAGATAATTCATATAAATTCAAGTCAAAGTCAATAAATTCAAGACTTGACAAGACGAATAAAATAACATACAATTTTGTGCAGACTACACTTTTATTTGTCAGCCGAATATATAGCGGGAGGGGGTGGGTGCGGAATAGAACCTTGCGGGAGCGGGACTAAAAAAAGACCTCTACCCAGGGGGTACGCCGCTGTAAAAAATTTGAGAACCACTGCTTTAAAATAATACAAAGTATGCTTTGAAATAAGCTAAAACTCAAGATGTACAGTGATTTAAATTAATTCCCTCGACACCTGGCATTTGGAAAACCTGGATATATGAGGCTGAGAGTGAATATATAGCGGGAGGGGGTGGGTGCGGAATAGAACCTTGCGGGAGCGGGACTAAAAAAAGACCTCTACCCCAGGGGGTACGCCGCTGTAAAAAATTTGAGAACCACTGCTTTAAAATAATACAAAGTATGCTTTGAAATAAGCTAAAACTCAAGATGTACAGTGATTTAAATTAATTCCCTCGACACCTGGCATTTGGAAAACCTGGATATATGAGGCTGATTTGTTATTTCTAGGTGGTCTTCCAGGTGTTTTCAGTGAAAGCATTTGTGGCTGAAAACCACCTGGTGGATGTTCTGCTGTTGCTGCTTCTGTATGGCTGGGCGGTGATTCCCCTCATGTACCTGCTCAGCTTCATGTTCTCCTCGGCCGCCACCGCTTACACGCGCCTCACTATCTTCAACATCCTCAGCGGCACAGCCACCTTCCTCGCGGTCACCATCATGACCATACCTGGTGAGACACGCACGTCCGCACTTGCATTTCAATTCTTGCTAGAATGTCTGTTCAAACACTTTGCGTTCTTGTGGTTGTCTTCCCTCAGAGCTCAAGCTGGTAGACCTGTCTCACCTCCTGGATAAGGTCTTCCTGATCTTCCCGAATTACTGCTTGGGCATGTCCTTCAGCGAGTTCTATCAGAACTACGAGATCATCACTTTCTGCACCTCCAGTGTCTTGGCCGAGTACATTTGCAAGTACTACAGTGAGTGACTGATAATCACCCTGAAAAACCACCTGAACTGAAACTCATAAGCTCATGCTAGGTCAGTTCTGATCAGTGCCGTTTCTGGCATTGTGCTGGCACTTCGCCTATGCAAATGTGAAGCCCTGGATATTGAATTTTTGTTTTTCTGTAATATGTTAGCCTGTGTGTGTATAATATGATTAAATCATTCGTTGTGTTTAGTGTCTCGATGGAGCTATAAGACCAGCACCGCTAGCTGGTAAATCTTCTGAATATTGACTGACGTCATTGAAAAGCAACTAGCAGTGCAAGCATGAGCGTTTAGCATCATGTGGCGCACTTAATGTGGACTGTGTTGTCATTCTCATTGGCATTTTTGCTGGTCATCTGCAGACATCACGTATCAAGTAAACTACTTTTCCATGGATGAGCCTGGAGTGGGTCGCTTCCTGGTGGCCATGTTCCTGCAGGGTGTCGTCTTCATCGCCCTGCTTTTCTTCATTGAGCTCCGGTGCATCCATGTGCTGCTCAACCTCTGCAGGAGACACAAGAAGGTGGGAGAGGAATGAAAAGGCAGGATATGGTGCTGCTGTTTTATTGGTTTGGATGCTAACAATCACAGCTGTGGGTGTGTGTTTTTTTTGTCAGATTTTGCTGTTGGCAGAAGAAGCTCTTCAACCTGAGGACAGAGATGTTGCGGAGGAGAGAAAAAGAGTTTTGGAGTGCCAGCCAGTGGTTGAGTCCATGGTGGGCAGCCCACTTATCCTACAGGAGCTCAGCAAGGTATGAAGTTCACATTGTATTATTTGACTCCAAACTACAGTATGTTAATGTGATTACCTCAAAGTTTCAGTTTCCACTTATATTCTGTGAAAAAGTATTTTGGAATGCTTTAATGCATTGACATGCAAGTTCCACTGTATCATTGCCACAGTGCCCTGAGTATACAAAACCAGTTGGGTGGTGCCATCTGTTGGCCAAAGTGCATAAAACATGCAGAAAATCATGCTTTGGAATAATTTGGCCTAAGGTCACGCTCCTTTTTATAACTGGTCATTTCTATGGCTTTCTGCTATTTTGTGGACATTGTTTAGGAAGGAAGCCAAACAGAAACCACTAAATGGGATATTGGTATGCAACAACGTTCTCCAGAAATACCTGAGTTACTGGCAAATATGCTAAACAGGAAGTGATATATAGTCTCTTAGCACATGTTTTGCATTTCATTGCCACAATGCCCTGAAAATACCATGTAAATTTGGTCATAGTATTTTACCAAACAAATTTGTTACCAGACAAAATTGTTTGGTGTTTAGTTTATTGTTTTTACCCTTTTTTAATCTGTGGTTGTATTTCTCTAGGTATATTCAGGTGGGCAGTCGTTGTTAGCGGTGGACCGTTTGTCTTTGGCCGTTGGGAAGGGCGAGTGCTTTGGTTTACTGGGATTTAATGGAGCAGGGAAGACTACGACATTCAAAATGTTGACGGGTGATGAAAGCATAACTTCAGGAGATGCCTTTATTGACGGCTACAGCATCCTCCGAGATGTGAAAAAGGTTGAGCATTTTGTTATCTCATTGCCATTTCATATAAAATAGTTCCCTAACACTGGAAATTAGGGTCAAGGTCAAACTTTATTAGTTAATTAATTTTTAGAGATGAGAGATATTTAGATTTGATGTAAGTGAATGGATTAACAGTATTAAATATGACTTCACTTCAGGTGCAGCAGAGAATTGGCTACTGTCCCCAGTTTGATGCGCTGCTAGATCACATGACAGGGCGGGAAACCCTGAGCATGTATGCCAGACTGAGGGGCATCCCAGAGAAATACGTTACAGCCTGTGTAGAAAACGTCCTGCGTTCGCTGCTGCTCGAACCTCACGCTGACAAACTTGTCCGCAGCTACAGGTATAAACATGAGACCTGAGAGAAAGAGGATGGATGGTTAGAAATAATTGATGGGTGGTTAGATATGATTAATGCATGGTAAGAAATGATGGAAGATTAGATTTGATGGTTAGATGAGGGTTAGACATGATATATAGATGGTTAGATGTGATGAATGCATTGATAAGTATGATTGATGGTTGATTAGAAATGAAGGATGATTTTGGTTTATGATAGAGATATTTAATGGGTGGTTAGATATGATGAAGAATGAATGGTAAAATATGATTGGTTCGATATGATTGGGTTGATCGATATGATTTATGGGTGGTTAAATATGATTTGTAGGTGGTTAGATGTGATAATGAATGGATGGTAAATTATGAAATATGGAGGGTTACATATGAGTCATGGGTGATTAGGTATGATGAATGAATCAGAAAATATTTCATGGATGTGTAGATATGATTCGTGGGTGGTTGGATATGATGATGAATGGCTGGTTGAATGACATGATATATGGATGTTAGATATGATTCATGGATGGTTAGATATGGTTCATCGATGTTAGATAAGATTCGTGGATGGTTAGATAAGATTTGTGGATGGTCAGATATGATTTGTGGATTGTTAGATATGGTTCATGGATGGTTAGGTATGATTTGTGGATTAGATTATATGATTCATGGATAGTCAGATATGATTTGTGGGTGGTTGGATATGATGATGAATGGCTGGTGAGATATGATATATGGATGTTAGATATGCTTCATGGATGGTTAGATTAGATTTGTGGATGGTAAGGTATGATTCATAAGATTCGTGGATGGTTAGCTATGATTGGTGGATGGTTAAATATGATTCAGGGGTGGTTAGATATGATTCATGGGTGGTTAGATATGATTTGTGGATGGTTAGATATGATTCGTGGATGGTTAGATATGTTTCGTGGATTGTTAGATATTAGGGGTGTAACTAGGGCTGCACGATTAATCGAATGCGATTGTCATGCGCATTTTGATAGTAATGCCGGTTTACTGCTGATCACAGAACCGTGCTTCACTGAAAGATACGCATGACAATCGCAGCTTCTGTCGAATCACGATCTCGATTCCATTTCGATTTATCATGCAGCCCTAGGTGTAACGATTCACTCATTTTCTCGATGCATCGATTACAAACCCTGAAGATGCATATGCATCAATCTTGAAACATGGATTTTTGAATCGTGAATCGTCGATTTCGGACAGTAATCGATTTAAAACGCTAAGAATCGAATGTATCAAAATATATACACATT